GGCCAGACCTGAGGGCCTCAGCCACACAGGATGGGCACAGGGGCTAGTAGTGGCCTGCCTGGGGTCTGGAAGAGCCCTGCATCCTCTCCTCCACAAACTGCGGCCCTTCCTTTGACTGTTCCTGTGATCAGGCAGGGCTCCCACTGCCTTGGAGTTTGCAAAGGCTGGCACCCTGGCTGAAGGCTGAGGTGACACCTCAAATAGAGGCCAATGCCCAGGAAGCATGCGGTCTCGAAATCATTCTCCCTGCCGTGAACAGCATTCCAGTTTACACTCAACCTCTGGGGATCCTTCCAGCTGTGCAAGGGAGTCCCAGGCTCCAGACACACACTAAAAATAATGAAAAACCTTTTTAAGTTACTCAAAAAATAACCATCATAACAATCAGCTAATTATACCCTGTGCAAGGTGGCTTTTCTGTCCGGTACCACTTTCTGATAGGATCCTAAGCCCTTCTGTACCTGACCTTGAGGCCTGCCCTCCCACAAAAGCATCCTCAGCCTACTCTACTCATCAAGGCTGGGAAAAGACAGTGCTGTTTTCTCCCCCATCACATCCTATTCTCCTGTAAACCCTCAAAGACTCTCTTACACGGCATCACAGCCAGATCTTCCCCTGGGCTCCACTGCCCAGGTGGAACCTCACTTCTACAGCTTCATTAGACTCTGCCTGTGGCTCCTCAATCTTTTACTCAGGCTTCTACTCCAAGGCCTTCCTATGGCCACCCTCAGGTAAAGCTGACACATGCCTACCTGCCCCTGCCACACTATGTAAATAAGGGCCTGCCTGGCCCTTCTGCTCCTCTTGCTCACCGCCCATAACGAGGCTTCTCCACACACAGTACCCAGAATGTTCTGGACGTACCCATGCCTAGAAAGTGTGGACTGCACCTGAGCCGACAGGACCAGTGTGATGGAGGCTGGAGGCTTATTTAGCCTATGACATGTTGCTAGGGCAGCCATGCATTTGTTGTCAGTAGGACTCTGAACTGTGTGCTACTGTGACTGACACACAGGAAATGTCACTGAACCCTTACTGGAGGAAGAGTAAAGAAATAAGTAATTCCTTTCTCAAATCTCTAGCTGGGTTCCAATAATGGAAAAGACTGCAGGATAATGGAGAGACCACAGGGAAGGCTGTCTGGGGGCTACCAGGGTTCCTTTAGGTGCTCCAGACACCAAGATGAAGGGTCTAGGCAGGACACTCCTTTCTAACATTGACAAGATACTAGGGGAATTTTGGGCCAAACTGCCCTGTGGAGGACCCTGGGTTGTGTGTGTATGGGGGACGGGGGCAGATGAAGGTCTTGGACCTGGCCTACTCTCCCTGAAGCCAGAGCCTGGTAGGTAGGTGCTGTAGCTTCTTTGAGCCTTGAGACCTCATCTGGAGAGCTAGGGTAATACTTGAAATTCAACACCACCTTACAAACTACCTAGGTCTCCAGGCCGCATCACACCAGCACTGGTCAGCTCAGCTCTACTATGGCTACTGCAACCCCCTCTGCTGCTGGTCCTAGACAATGTCTACACTTTCTGGGCATGGGCACTTCTACAAGTCTTGGTACTAGGTGTAAGGAGGCCGACTGGCATTTTTACATATGGAAATTGTTCTCATTTATTTTTCATAAAGGAAGTCTCTAAGCCCTGCTTTGCAAGAGACATATCATCATACCCTTGGCTTTGAGCAACCAAATTAAGAAAATCACTTTCTGACTAATTTTATGGCAGTAACAAACATTTGATGACATATTGGGAAGGTGGTGCCTAGCTTTTTAGATGAACGCTATTAAGGATGAGCAATAATTGGGGAATTTTCTGAAGATAAATCTTAGCAAAATTAACCTATTTTAAAATGCAGTTTGCAGGCTTGGGGTGTAATTTAGTGGAGGAATGCTTGCCTCGTATGTACAAGGCCCCTGCATTTGATTCCTAATACTACAAAATTAATTATTTGTTTTTTAAAAAAGTGCATCTGAAGGCAGGTGTTGTGGAACTATGTAAAGATAGGTTGCATTTATTTGCATTGCAGAAAAATTGATTAGCTATGTAAAGATGCATTGCTGTTTCACCTTGCCTGCATGAGTCACCTGATTGTCTAATAAAAAGCTGAATGGCCAATAGCTAGGCAGGAGGGATAGGCCCGACTAGTGGGTAGAAAGAAAAGGGGAGCTGGTCAGCCAGCAGGGGTCCAGCAAGCAAGACCCAGAAGAGGCAGGATGGACAGTACATAGATGTAAACGAGCCTCAGGACAGCACATAGATGGATAGAAATAGGTTTAGTTTTTAAAAAGTAGCTGGAAATAAGCCCAAGCTAAGGCTGAGCAGTCATAATTAATAATAGGTCTTTGTGTCATGATTTGGGGGCTGGCAGTCCAAGGAAGCCTGCTACAGCCTGGTATGGTGGAACATGCCTTTAATCTCAGCACTGGGGAGGCGGTGAATCTCTGTAAATTCAAGGCCAGTCTAGATAAGTGGTTCCCAGGACAGTGAGGACTACATAGAGAAACCTTGCCTCAAAAGCAAAACAGCCCTATGAAGCTAGGCTGAAAATACATACTGACGTCACTCAGCATGATGATGCTGTGGGGCAAGAAGAGGCTATGTCTTCTACAGATATTCAGGAATGCATAAACCACAGAATATAAAGATAGATACATAGGCCAAGGAAAGACAATACTCCACTATACACAAAAGCCAGAAGGCACATAGCCTCATTCTGTCTGTCTGGAGCTCAGTTCCCACCCGAACCCATGGACATGAATGAGGTCCCTCGTGGAGATAGCTTGCAGGTGTCAATACACTCTAGAGCAGGACATTCCACACAGGAGGACCCTAGGGATGTGTCACAGTTCAAGTCAGGTCTAATACACCTGCACATGCTAGAACCTGTCTGTGTAGGCCTAGGCTCTACGTGCAGACTCCCAGGCCCTCTTGGATTTTTGCTCAGATGAGAACCTTATAGCCTGCCATACTGTGGACCAGTTGGTTCCCTTCCTGCCACCATCTGTCACTCCTATGCAGCTGCCACAGGGGGCTAAACTACAAGCATCTGGCAAGTTAATTGTAGGCTTTCTAAGGAAACAATAGAAAAGCAAGGTTTGGGAGAATGCTTGGATGATGACTGTGGACTTTAGAAGCACAGGAGTGACCTAGTAGCTCAGAATAATGATGCCCCAGATACTCCAGGGGTCTCAGGTCTGTCTGCTTTATCTTAGGTAGGTCAGAGATCACCTGTTGTCTAATTTGCATTAGCTATATAACCTCTGCCTAACACTAACACACACACACACACACACACACACACACACACACACACATACACACACACAACACAGGGCCACAACATCAGGAACCTACCCATGAGATGTTTCAGACCCCTGGATATTTAGATGACAGAGATGGGGCTCGGATTTACCCCTCTGTCCAGGGGTATGGGTGACTCCAGTTGGCTTGAGTTTCCGCTGTTTCAGTCCCCATCGTTCCTAGTACTACCAACAGGATCTGCTGTGGCTATCGGAGCCCTCTTCAAAATAGGCTTTGGTCTGAGTTCTTAGCAGCTTACTCCCCAGTGCCCAACACAGCCCTGGGCAGAATGACATTCTCAGGAACATCAGGTCATGGTACAGGGGAAGCAGGTCCATCTTACCTGGGGCATCTACAACCACTCTCAAGGGCTGCTGTCCTCAATGCTCGGATGTTAACAAGGCTATAAAGAAGGGTGTAAGTCTCCCTATGAAAGGTCCCTGTAGGTGACTGTCTGCAGGAGCCACCTCTTCAAGATGTCCACAGACCCTAAGATCAAAGGTGCAAATACTGGACTTTTTTCAGTCACCCAGGCTGACAGTGGAGCAAGGTCTGATGAGCCCTGACCTTCTACATTCTCAGGCACAAAATGGGGTTAGGGGAGTAAGGAGTGCAGATGGACAGAGACTAGGCCCCTCCTCCAGCCAAGGCAGGTATCCCTACCCATGCTCTGGCCTCTGAAAGACCCACTGAGCCTGAGCTGCTGGCCCATCCCAATCCCTTCCTTGCTTTCTTCCCAGTGCCCAGGAATCCCAGGTAGATAGCAGGCTTGGGGGAGGTGCCCCACTGGGTAACTAATGGGTTAATTACATACCCCATAAAAAGCCACTGTGATTTAGAGAGTGAGCCAGGCAGGCTCTAATGCAGTAAATCAGAGCTGCAGGGATGAGGCAGGTGGAGTCCCAGCCCCAGCCCTCCAATGAGCCAAAACGGCAGTAAATCTGCAGAAATGGCTTTTATGAAGCTCTGGGTTTTATGATGTCATTAATGTTTCTCCTGATACTTAAGAGAAAATGAAGTAAGTCACGAGGAGGTGTCAGAGCGGCTAGGCCACTCCACAAACTCAGGTAGATGAGGGAATTGCCTGAACCTGAGTTCGTGCTCCTAGTGGGTTTCACAAGCGGGTATCAAGGACCCCCCAGTTGACTTGGGTATGCTTGTCCACCTGGGGAATTATGCAGCATGGGTTTATTGAATGCTAACCTGCCCCATTGGAGCTCGCCATGGACCAAGAGCCCATCATTTGAGCACACACTCATCCCCACAATCTCTCCACACAGGATTAGCTCTGGATTTGTGTCTAGTCTAAATCCAAGCTCCTTCAGCAGACAGATGAGGCTGGACACTGTTATCTTTTACAACAAAGAACCTTGGTCCCTAACCAGACCCCAGGGGCAGAAGCCTGTTCAACTTATTAACAGCAACTTGGCTCTCGACTTCTCAGCAACCCAAGGACCCACCTCAGGTTCCTGGCCAAAGTCCTGGAGACTCTGCCTTATGTGTGTCCCTGAACATCAAGCTCCCCATGCAGGGGCATGTCCACCCTGTGCCTGTCCAGCAGCTGTTGAGGTCAGAACCAGCCAGGATTCTGATGGGGAAGATTCCAGGGTGGTGGAGCCCTCTGGGCATAGGAGCTATGAGGCAGCTGTGGCTAAGGCAAGGACAAAAACAGCAGGGGAGGAGGGACTGGAGACTTACTGAGTAGCCTCTCCCGGAAACCGCCTGTGCAGAGCTCTGTGGGAAAAAGTAGAAAGACAGTCAGTGACAGGCCAGGGGACAGGAGGGCCTCACTGGAAAGGGGAAAACAGGGCTGAACATAGTCTTCTCATGCACCAGAGAGCTTCTGGAGTCTTCTTTGAAGCAGTAGTCTCTCTTCTGGTTTAGACAGGCCATCAGTTATTGCAATAGCTCTGGGTTAGCCTAGGAGACAGGCCCTACCTAATGAGGGGAAGGGGAGGGCACAAAGATGCCCTTAGACTATCCACAGCTCCTTCAGGACTAGGATGCTGAAGCCACGCCCCAAAGGGCAGCAGAAAGACCCTTGCTGATCTCACCACTTCTGCCTGGGGTCCACAGATAGACTCCTCTGGAGGAGGATGACAGCATGGGCCCTACAGGCCAGGCGGCTTGAGGGTTAGCTAACAACCATGGCGGAGGCTGGCATGAGAACCCAGGAGTACTGGAAAGGTTCTTTCTATTTGGCTTAAGAACCACCAGAACAGAGCCAGCTGCATCTCAAGCTGGGCCATGTACCAGGTTCAACCACTTGTGTGTGCACGTGCAGCAGAAGCTGTGGCAGGAGGGGGTGCAAATAGAGGGCTAGGCTACTGCGAAGTACATAGTTGGGGCTGGGGCTGTGTGGCAGGGGAACATGATGACTTGCGACAATAAGATGGGGACAGAAAGTAGCGGGCACAAAGGAGAGTCAGCAGAGGGAAATGGGACCCAGTAGCCAAGCTGCAAGTCCTTCCTTCCTTCGGAGCATCCCGATACCCTTTCCTATACATACAACACTGACAGGGCTAGGCCTAGGGTCTCGGCTTGGAGGGTGGAGCTCACCCAATCCCACCCCTGGTCAGATCCCACCTGCCAGACACAGGCAGCTGAAGGGGTGGGGGTGGGGCATAATTGGTGAGTTCTCAGCTTCATGTCGAGTTGTGTTCAGAATGCTGCTTCATTCATCCTGGGCTGCAATTAGAGTGCTAACTAGGGCAGCCCTGCGGCCCCAGACAATTACCAGCCTATTTTCCCATCTTGCGGCAACAAGATCAGGAGCCTGGCAATTATGCCTCCCTCTGCGGCAGCAGGCTGCACCCCCAATCCCCTATTTAAATGATAATGAGACACGGCTCATTCATTTTAGTCCTTAAAAAAAAAAAAAAAAAAAAAAAAAAAAAAAGTACCACCCTGAGGCCACTTCAGGAGCTGGGCAGGGTTGATGTCAGTGGTCATCTCCTGAGCCACCAACTCAGGGAGTAGCCCCTCTGTTTCTACCCCAGTAGTGGGCCAGCCCTGTGACAGGCTCCAGATCCCTTCCATGGGGCTTTGTGGATGAGACCTAGTACCCAGGAGCCTCTCTCAGGGACACTGGCACATCCCCAATTCAGATCATTGCATGTGCACCCCTACACTGCACCTCCAGCCCCAGGCACCTCAGGACCCATGGCAAGGTATGCAGCTAGCTGTCCACTCTGCTTTGGGCAAGGTTAGCCCCTGTTTTAAAATGGCCTGACATCTATGAAATCAGACACATTAGTGGAGTCATTTACACCCAGGCATCACTGCAAGATGCTGGTGTAGCATCTGCTCTAGGACACAAGGATGTCCATCTTAGGGTTCCAGGGCCAGTTTTCAGGCTGCTACACTGTACTATGAGATACTTAATATTCCTGATGGGCTCCTGCCAGCTCCTAACTGCTGTCCTTCATTTAAACCCCTCCTACTGGTGAGGTCCTAATTTAACTCCTAATTGCTCATGAGCAGCCTCCATGTAAACTGCCAGGCATGGTCAAAGCCCGGGACACCTGCAGGAGATCACCAGGATATCAGTGAGGGGTACTTACATCACTCAGCTGGTCCCGGGAGCTGCTATGCTGAGAGCTGGAAGCTTCAAGGACACTGTCATCATCACTGTTCCGCTCACCCCCTCTGGCCATAGTGACTTTCATCTGAGGACAGGGAGAAAGAGTCTCAGGCAAACATGCACTGACCAGTAAGACTTCCTGGCCAGGGTCATACCCTCCCCCACAAAAGCAATTGGAACTAGGCGCATTCCAGGGCTGCAAGTGCCCTTAACTTGAAGGCTTGGGTCTTTTGGGAGAAACAGCAGAAAGAACAGAGATGTTTGGCCAGGAACCTGCCTAGTTGACTGCTTACAAACTTATCACCTGACATGACAGGAAAATGCCCTAAGGAGCCACACAACCACTGGCTCTGTCCTCGAATCTTCCAGTCACTGACTTTGAAGACACCCCAGGGACCCAGAGGCTACAAACCAGGCCTACTCTCCCTGCCCAGAGCCTGACCTCTTCCTGATGAGGCCATGCTGGGCTGGGCTGCCCTTCCCAGCCCACATCAAGACATTAAACCATGCACCCTCAGTGCCTCCTTCAATGGGCACAGCAACTCCTTAGGTATATGACCTTGACTGCTTCTTAGCTCCTGGATGTCTTGGCTTGCCATTTGCTGGTCAAAGCTGTAGGTACACAAAAACATCCCAGGGGCCAATTGATAATGGCTGTCCAAAGTGCTTTGCATGTTCTGAGACTGTTGGCTGTTTGGAACAGCCCTTAGGACAACCCACTTCACTTTCAGCTTAGAAAAAGAAAACAGGCCCAGGCAAGGTGACAGATATCACTGACCTTGGTTGGCATTAGACACCAGCAACAACAGGGACATCCAGCTACATAACTAGGTTCATAACATCCTGGACTATTTGCAGAGGCCATCTTCTGGTCCCAGCCATGAACACAACTGTCCAGGTATGATGACCTCACATTTCTGCCCGTATAAGTCTGTGGTCTGTTTAATGGGGCACATTCCCACATACTTTTTTTTTTTTTTTTAATTATTATTTTGGTTTTTTTGAGACAGAGTTTCTCCGTAGCTTTGTTCTGGAACTTAGTCTGTATACCAGGCTGGCCTAAAACTCACAGAGATCAGCCTGCCTCTGCCTCCCGAGTGCTGGGATTAAAGGCACGTGCCGCTACTGCCTGGTGTGACATTTCCACATCTTATAATAGATGAACTTGGTCTCTTTATAAACAAACTGGGTGCAGGGTTCATCTAGCATGGGATGTTGAGGGGCTATGTGAATCCATGTGAACATTTGTCCTCCCCTGGTCTCACATCCCAGAACCACTGGTATAGGTTTGGTTAAAGTCCTTAGAATCTAGCCCAAGTATGTGCCAGACCTGGAATTTGTTTAGGGCCTGGAACTGGCTTAAGCCTCTGAATCTGCCAACTTTCCCCTAGTCCTAGACTTCCAGAAATCCACACCCTTTCCTCCTTGGATATGACAGGGTACCAAGGCCAAGGCACTGACTGGATGTTAGTTCATGTCCAGGTGGCTAAACTGGGGTCCCTCACCCAGGCAAAGTAGGGTGCAGATGAACTGGGCTAGCCTGAGGAGATGAAGGTGAACATAGTTACTGACTTAACTGCCCGTGGAGACTTTTCGTTATTGAGAATCTACTAGTATCTCTGTCATTGGTTTGTCTGCTACGAGGGCATTCTGTCTTCTGACCTACAGTGGACAAAGACTGCCAACTCATGAGGGTATTTCATATGCATACATATGCGTACAGAGGGCATGCTTCCTGCTTGACACATACATACATACATACATACATACATACATACATACATACATACATAAGTTATCTTTTCTGAGCCAGACACTGGAGTGAGTGATGAACCCTGTGACTCCACTTGTCTTTGCATCCGTAGGGCTGGGATTAAAGGCCTGTGCTACCATTGCCTAGCATGTAGAAGGATGAGATAAGTATACCTGGACTTTTGTGTCTGCCTGGAGCCAGAAGGTGGCCTGCTTGCTCCAGGAGGGCAGATGAGAGTACTTGTACTTATTTATACCCACCTTTGAACTTTGTAGACCAACCACCAGCCCATCCATCCACTTATCCGTTTGTTCACTAGTCCACCCCCGTAACCAGCCACAATCACTCATCCATCAATCCGTCCAACTATTTAGCTAGCATTCCCTGGGTAAGTTCTTATACATTTGGCTCTTCTGAACAATGGACATGCAGACACATATCCCTTTTCTCATGGAGCCTTCAAAAATCACATGGCTCTCAGTAAATGTAAGAAAGGAAAACAAACAAACAAACAAACAAACCAGCCTGAAATACAGCAGCAGGCACTAAGGCAAACTGCAGAGCTGGTGGGAGGATCACCAGAAAAGGCTGCTCTGTGCCACAAGGCAGGCAGACCCACTCACGACCTATGCTGGGCAGCTCTTCATTTGTTCTGTGACACAACCACTTTGATGGACGGAGTTGAACTAATTTGTACATTCCAGTTTGGGAGGCTCCGGACATGGAATGGAGGTCAAAGCTGGCCCAGTCACTTAAAGTTTGCTCCTGCAACATGTCTGGGTGACTGCCCTGCAAGCTCCTGTGCAACCTCAGCAGCCCAGGAGGTCTCCAGGGAATGGCTGGAAGCCAAGCCCCAAGGAGGAACCTGTTACTGTACCTCTCATAGCTCCCTTATAGGGAGGGCCACAGGCTGATGCTGTCTGTCCTCGTGGGCTAGGGTGTGGAGCAGGATCTCTCAACGTTAAGTCTCTGCAACTGCACATTCATCCCAGGTGGGCGCAGCCACATTCCGTCTCTATCTCTTCCTTATGGCCTCTGTGGGTTTCTGAGGTCTTGTAGGCTGGCCATGTTGGGCCTCACATCTGGTCTTTCATCCAGCCTCATATAGGAACTTAACATATACATTATCTTGTGTGTGTGTGTGTATGTGTGTGTGACTATGCATGCTACAGTGCACATGTAGAAGTTAGAGGAAAACTTGTGGGGCTCACTTCTTTCCTTTTACCAGGTGGGTCCCAGGGATTTGAACACAGGTTGTCAGGCTTGGCAGCAAGTGCTTTTTACCCATGAGCCCTCTCTCTAGCCCCATGGGTTTGATGGTTTATCTTTTATCTTTTTTAGGTTTAGTTTTTATTTTGTGTATAGGTGTACCCTACATATATGTCTGTGTACCATGTGCATTAGTGCCCATGGAGACCAGAAGAGGTCATCAGATCTTCTGGAACTGGAATCACAGATGTTTGTGAACAACCATCTGGATGCTGGGAATTGAATCCGAGTCCTCTAGAAGAGCAGCCACTGTTCTTACCACCAAACACCTCTCTAGTCCCAGGTTTTAATTGTTCTCAACCATGTACTCACCAGACAGCAACATGAGCCCAGGGCATCTCTGGACAGCACCTAGGGCTCACAGGCCTAGGGTCACTGGCAGCTCCAAGAAGCAGGTTTAGAAGCTAAGCTGGCAGCTTTGGTGCTAGAACTTTCATGGGCCCTTTGTCTTGGTGGGAGTCAGCCTTTGGCTGTACAGGACTATCTATGGGGGGAATTGCAAGGAGAAAGTAGGCTCTCAGCCAAGGGGACAAGAGAGTTCCAGAAAGAAACATGGAGGGAGGTGGGCAATGGTTAGGGGTCCAGACATACAGAGCTCAAAAGATCTCAGCGAAAGGCCAATATTATCCTGCTGGGTTCGCAAGCCTACAGTGCTGATCAGTGTCTTCTCTGCACCAACCTTGCAGCCCAGCATGTCCAACGATCCATAATGTGGGTGGGATAGACTATGAGGCAGGCCCCACCACCCAGAAGCCTCTGTTAGCATGTGCTAATGAAACACTCCCTATTTCCTCATGAGTATGAGCCTGGGCAGGACACTGAACATAAAAAACCACAATTAGCTGACAGGATCTGGCTATTTCTGTGAACATGCCACCAACTGGGCAGAGAATCTGAGGCACAGTCAGTGGTGCATTGACTTCTGCAGGTAGCACATGTGATAAATGGAAGCTTGAGTGGCATACTCCTTGGCTGCCAGTGCCTGCCAAACTCTCTGGAACCCAAGCAGGGTAAACAGAGGGGTAGGATGGAAGGAACCCTGGACTCACTCCAATTAGCAGGACCAAAGCAAAGCCAGTGTTGTGTGGTAAGCCAGCTTTATGGGAGGGAGGCCCCCAGGAATGCGTGCCAATTTCCAGAGTAAATGCTCACACCAAGGTGTGCCTGAAGCTACCAACAGTTTAGCAGCTTGTGAATTTTCTGGACACTTAGCAACCAGCTTCTGCAAGCTGGTGATCCTCTCTAAACAGGGCAAGCAGACTATCAGGCTGGGAAAGAGCTCCGGTAGCCAAACATGGTGACTCTAAGCAATGAGGTGTCTCCTTCCCCCTACTCAGCGGCAGGCTGCACATGGAAGTGATTGTTTCCAGGGCTGGTGGCCAAGTGCACTGCTGTCCCAGGCAGGAAACATGTGCTTTTTTCTGATGCTCACATATACTAGGGTTTGGGGCACAGAGCTAGCCTGTCCAAGGGTTGGGCCCTGAGCCATGTACTGCTTAAGATGAAGTATCACCTCTCACTTGCAGTTAGAAAAGTCTACAAACACTCAGAGCCAGAAAGAAACAAACATGAACATACATGCCAGCATTTACATACCCCAGGTTGTTTACGAAACATATATGTACCACCCATTGTACACACCTCATCTTCTCCCCAAGATACCTTCATGTTCTGACGCACTTCAAAGAGGCACCAAGGCCCACTGGACCCCAGAATCCCATTATTCAGGCTGAGAATACACACAAGACAGAAGGAACAGCTACTCTGAGTAAGGGCAGGGCATGACTAGGATGGTTTACATGGAAGTCGATGACTCACACAGGGAGACATGCACACTGCCTCAAACCGTTTCATACTCAGACAAATGCTTAACTTGTGAGCCCCTACAGCCCACCTAACCTCTGTACTTGTAAGATGGAGGCAGGGTCGGGTATTTCACTTCCTGGACTGAGGAGGAATACGGCTGCTTTCAACTGTAATCCCTGGGAAATCCTTGCAAAGGGCAGCAGGTCCCTTGGGCATCCCAGACCCAGAATTGGTTAGAGGTGGAAGAGGGCTTAGGC